GGTATCAGAGGCAGTTTCTTTGGGGACTTTGGGGACTGCTTTCCTCAAAGTCATGGGTAAACATTGGTTGTAAGAGTTTATAGGAAAGAGGTCATTGGAGACAATTAAATCTATACCTATCTTTTGGAATGCTTTGGTCTTTTTGTAGAGTCTGGTACATAAACATTTCATGTGTTTTTGAGAGGAATGTAAAGTTTTGAGCATTTAGTTTTAGAATTCTCTAAATGTTGGCTTCAATTTTTTTTATTTGAACTTAAATGTGTTGATTTTTCTACATATACTTTTCTTTACTTTGTTCAATAATTAAATTATGCTAAAACCTCAAACTATAATCGTGACGTTATCAAATTTTCCTTATAGTTCTCTTAATTTCTAATATAAATATTATATGGAGAGAGAAAAATATACTACAAAATGCTATTTATAATAATATGAAGGAATATACATTAATAATAATATGTACTTACTGTTATCAGATAAATACATAATTTAAACTGTTGCGGTTAAGTTCTTTCTGGGACTTAAACCTTTTATCATTGTGTGGTAAAACTCCAGTTCTGATAAAAGTCTTTATTTTAACATCTTAAATAAAGCTTTTAAATAAAGCTACACAAATATAGATACACTGCTTTCTTTAAATTAATGTTTGCATGATAAAACTTTTTGCAACTATAATTTTAAATCCTTTAAACGACCTTTTGTCAACAACACGTAGGTAGGTTTTTCTTAAACCCGGTTTGAAAACTTTGTCTTTTAATGAGTGTGACATTTTATGTACATTTAGCTGAAATGCTGTATTTGGGCTAGTTTGTAATACTTATTCGTAACACTTATTACAGCCTTCCTCTTTCTTCTTCTTCTTTGTCTATAGTTTTAAATTTATATATCTAGCTTCCCCTTAAGAACTAGCAACTTGGTGAACATTCATATCCTCATTTTTCACTACCATCACCCCACCACACATACCTACTTCCTCTTTTGTTTCTCTTCAGACAAGTCTTTTTTTTAACATTTTTTATTGAGTTAAAGTCATTCTACAATGTTGTGTCAAATTCCAGTGTAGAGCAGAATTTTTCAGTTATACATAAACATACATATATTCATTGTCAATTTTTTTTGCTGTGAGCTCCCATAAGAACTTGTATATATTTCCCTATGCTGTACAATATAATCTTGTTTGTCTATTCTAAATTTTGAAATCCTAGTCTGTCCTTTCCCATCCCCTGCCCCCTTGGCAACCACAAATTTGTATTCTATGTCTATGAGTCTGTTTCTGTTTTGTATTTACAGTTTTTTTTTTTTTGAGATTCCACATATGAATGATCTCATATGATATTTTTCTTTCTCTTTCTGGCTTACTTCACTTAGAATGACATTCTCCAGGGACATCCATGTTGCTGCAAGTGGTGTTATGTTGTTTTTATGGCTGAATAGTATTCCATTGTATAAATATACCACTCTTCTTTATCCAGTCATCTGTTGATGGACATTTAGGCTGTTTCCATGTCTTGGCTATTGTAAATACTGCTGCTATGAACATTGGGGTGCAGGTGTCATCCTGAAGTAGGGTTCCTTCTGGATATATGCCCAGGAGCAGGATTCCTGGGTCACATGGTAAGGCTATTCCTAGTCTTTTGAGGAATCTCTATCCTGTTTTCCACAGTAGCTGCACCAAACTGCATTTCCACCAGCAGTGTAGGAGGGTTCCCTTTTCTCCACAGCCTCTCCAGCATTTGTCATTTGTGGACTTTTGAATGATGGCCATTCTGACTGGTGTGAGGTGATACCTCATTGTAGTTTTGATTTGCATTTCTCTGATAATGAGTGATATTGAGCATTTTTTCATGTGCCTATTGATCATTTGTATGTCTTCCTTGGAGAATTGCTTGTTTAGGTCTTCTGCCCATTTTTGGACTGGGTTGTTTGGTTATTTCTTATTAAGTCGTATGAGCTGCTTATATATTCTGGAGGTCAAGCCTTTGTCAGTTTCATTTGCAAAAATTCTCTCCCATTCTGTAGGTTGTCTTTTTGTTTTACTTATGGTTTCCTTTGCTGTGCAGAAGCTTGTAAGTTTCATTAGGTCCCATTTGTTTATTCTTGCTTTTATTTCTATTGCTTGAGTAGACAGTTCTAGGAGAACATTTTTGAGATGTATGTCAGATAATGTTTTGCCTATATTTTCTTCAAGGAGGTTTATTGTATCTTGTCTTATGTTGAAGTCTTTGATCCATTTTGAGTTGATTTTTGTGTATGGTGAAAAGGAGTGTTCTAGCTTCATTGCTTTACATGCTGCTGTCCAGTTTTCCCAACACCATTTGCTGAAGAAACTGTCTTTATTCCATTGTATATTCTTGCCTCCTTTGTTGATTAGTTCACCAAAACTTTGTGGGTTCATTTCTGGGCTCTCTATTCTGTTCCACTGGTACATATGTCTGTTTTTGTACCAATACCATGCTGTCTTGATGACTGTAGCTCTATAGTTTTGTCTGAAGTCTGGGAGAGTTATACCTCCAGCCTCTTTCTTTTTCTTCAGTATTGTTTTGGCAATTCTAGGTCTTTTGTGGTTCCATATAAATTTTATTATGATTTGTTCTAGTTCTGTGAAGTATGTCCTGGGTAATTTGATAGGGATTGCATTAAATCTGTAGATTGCCGTGGGCAGTGTGACCATTTTAACAATATTGATTCTTCCAATCCAGGAGCATGGGATATCTTCCCATAATCTTCTTTAATTTCCTTAATCAGTGTTTTATAGTTTTTGATGTATAAGTCTTTCACCTCCTTGGTTAGATTTATTCCTAGGTGTTTTATTACTTTGGGTACTATTTTAAAGGAGATTGATTCTTTACTTTCTTTTTCTGTTGATTCATCATTAGTGTAAAGAAATGCAACTGATTTTTGAACGTTAATCCTGTAACCTGCTACCTTGTTGAATTCTCTGATTATTTCTAGTAGTTTCTGTGTGGACCTTTTAGGGTTTCCTATGTATAGTATCATGTCATCTGCATATAGTGACACTTTTATCTCTTCTTTTCCAATTTGGATCCCTTTTATTTCTCTCTCTTGCCTGATTGCTGTGGCTAGGACTATGAATCTTGTCCCAGATTTTAGTGGGAAGCTTTTGAGTTTTTCACCGTTGAGTACTATGCTGGCTGTAGGTTTGTCATATATAGCTTTTATGGTGTTGAGACATGATCCCTGTATACCCACTTTGGTGAGTTTTTATCATAAATGGGTGTTGAATTTTATCAAATGCTTTTTCTGCACCTATTGAGATGATCATGTGGTTTTTGTCCTTTCTCTTGTTGATGTGATGTATTACATTGATTGATTTGCATGTGTTGAACCACCCTTGTGTCCCTGGGATGAACCCCACTTGGTCATGATGTATAATCTTTTTTATTTGCTGTTGGATTCTATTTGCTAATATTTTGGTAAGGATTTTTGTATCTATGTTCATCTGTGATATTGGTCTGTAATTCTCTTTTTTGGTGGTGTCTTTACCTGGTTTTGGTATCAGGGTGATGGTGGCTTCATAGAATGAGTTTGGGAGTATTCCTTCCTTTTCAGTCTTCTGAAAGAGTTTGAGAAGGACTGGTATGAGTTCTTTTTTGTATGTTTGGTAGAATTCTCTGGTGAAGCCGTCTGGTCCTGGACTTTTATTTGTAGGGTGGTTTTTTATTGCTAATTTGATTTCATTTTTAGTGATCAGTTTGTTCAAGTGGTCAGTTTCTTCTTGATTCAGTTTTGGTAGCCTGTATGTTTCCAGAAACTTGTCCACCTCCTCTAGGTTATCCATTTTGGGTCCATATACTTTTTCATAATATTCTCATATGATATTCTGTATTTCTATGTTATCTGTTGTAATTTCTCTATTTTCCTTCCTTATTTTGCTTATTTGTGCTCTTTTTTTTTCTTCCTTGTGAGTTTCACCAGAAGTTTGTCAACTTTATTTACTCTTTGAAAAAAACAGCTTTTGGTTTGATTGCTTTTTTTCTATTATTTTTTAAATCTCTATCTTATTTATTTCCTCCCAGATCTTTACCATTTCCTTCCTTCTGCTGACTTTTGGGGGGTTTTGCTCTTCTTTTTTAAATTCTTTTAGCTGGTGGGTTAGATAGCTTATTTGAGATTGTCCTTTTTTGAGGAAGGCCTGTATCGCTATAAACTTCCCTCTTAGCACTGCCTTTGCTGTGTCCCATAAATTTTGTGTAGTTGTGTTTTCATTTTCATTTGTCTCAAGGTATTTTTTAATTTCAACTTTGATTTCATCATTGACCCACTGGTTTTTTAATAGCATGTTGTTTACTCTCCATGCTTTCCTTTTTTTCTCCTTTGTTTCTCTGTAGTTGATTTCTAGTTTCATGGCATTGTGGTCAGTAAAGATGCCTGAGATAATTTCTATCTTCTTAAAATTCTTGAGGCTTCTTTTGTGCCCAAGTACATGATCAATCTTAGAAAATGTTCCATGTGCATTTGAAAAGAATGTATATCCTCTTTTCAGGGGTTGTAATGCTCTGAAAATATCCACCAAATCTAATTTTTCTATTGTATCATTTAATTTCTCTATTGCCTTATTTATTTTCTGTCTGGAAGATCTGTCTAGTGACGTTAACTTAGTTCTATCAGTCAAGGGGTGCTCCATATAGATCCAAGCCTTGGCGTCTCCCCCTCCATTCTGCTGACCTCTCCATTGGAGAGGGGGAGGCCCAGTGAAGGAGAACTATTCCTCCTTTGCTGCTCCCTTCCCGTGGGACTGGTCCCTCACTGTTTTGCCTTTTCTTCTTTCTTTTTTCCTTTTCTCCTACCAGATTTGTGGTGTCTTTGTCTTTTAAAAAGGGTGATGTTCTGTCTGAGTTCAGCAAGTGCTCTGGTTGGCTGGGTGGGTCCATGGATGTGAGTTTTGATGTGTTTGTGGGAGAGAGTGAGCTACAAGCATCCTTCTACTCTGCCATCTTGGCCCCTCCGACAAGTCTTTATTTATTCTTAAAACATTAAAAGACTTCATCAACATCTTATTCACTTTTACATTTTAGCCTGCAGCATTTTTTTTTTGCCCCATTTCTCTATTTTCAAGTTTAATGCTCTTCCCAAAAGAGTGTTTGATAGGTGTCTTTGTGTTGTAAATCTGATTTTTAATTTTGGGTCCTTTTCAGAGAATCATCTACAGGCCATTAGATTTAAAAATGACACTTTAGCTAAATTTAAAATTTCTGTTTCAAAATTACTTTTCCTTCCATTAAGGTTGGCTGGACCTCTCTGAAACACTTGGGGTCACGTAGGGCTTGGAGTACAGAACTTGAATGACTTAGAAAGACTATTAAAGGTGCACACAACATCTAGGGTGCCACATATATGGCCCAGGCGGGTCTAGGTCCTGACTTTCATCTCAAATGCACTACTATTTCAGGAGCAAGAAATGAACATTCACACTAAAGTGAATTTTTTTTTTTAATTATACACAGACTCCAGCCACCTCCTCTCAGGTATTTTTCTAATAAATTTTGTCACCAAACTCACACACACACACACACATACACACAGCTTTTGGTTTCACAGCTTGGGGAGATTTCAAAAGCACAGCGATGGACTGGGGGCAAATCATATGAAATTGCTCCATGTAGTTTTGCAATCGAGAATTTGATTTTGAAACTGTGTAAGCCGTCTACACTTTTTTCTGGAAACTGTCAAATTGTTCTTGTTATTTTTGGATCTTCTTCAGTTTCTCTACATTATGTCTTGATTTCTTTTTTTTTTTTCCTCCTTCCCTCTCCTACTTGACATTCTATTGGCCTGATCAATCTGAAGATGTTTGTATTACTTTAATTCCAAGAAGTTTATCCCATTCTTTCTTCAAACACTTCCTCATTTTCATTTTAGTTTTTATTCTTTTTGCAACAAATAATGTGGGGACTATTGACTGAAATAAAATTACACAATGTGAAAGTTATGAGTTAAGTTTTACTGGGGGCAGAATGAAGACTATAGCCCGAGAGACAGCATCTCAGATAGCTCTGAGGACCTGCTCAGAAGAGGCAGGTGGGAACTCAATATTATATATGATTTCAGTGAAGGGAGTGCATGCAGTCAAGCACACATTTAGGCAGAGGCTTGCTGCTAGTCACAAGGCGCAGATGCCACCGTTAATGGTTTTAGTGCTCTTCCACATATGAGGAGATGCAAGAATTTGGGCTCATGAAATATCCTCCTGAAAATAACCGTCTGAAGGTTTGTTCTGTCAGTTTCCCCAGAGCACAGAGTGTCTCATTCCTGATCTCCACCCTGAGCTCCTTTCAGGGAGTGTTGGAGATCAGCAGCTGCTATGGCTCATGGTTTAATCTAAGCAGAGGCAGATGGCAAGTGCCAAATTTTAGTTGGCAGGATGTTGACACTTTGATCTGTATCTGGCATGTCTTACATTTTCTTTTCTATTTTTTATTTCTTAATCCCAACCTATCTTCTTGTGGAAAAGTTTTCAACCTAATCTTACAAATAAATAATTTATATTCTACTTGTATCCATTGAATGATAGAGCCATACTATTGTGTGCCAGGAGCCAAATCTCCTGAACTGCAAAGTCTAAGCTCTTAACATGCACATTCTGCTTCCTGACTCAATGTGTTGAGGGAGGGTATTGGAGGAAAAAAAATGAAAGAAGTGTCATTTTTCACAAATAGTGATTCTCATAAGCTATATTTTCAGAGTTTACACACTATATGGAAAATAGCCTATGTAAAGGTTTCCCAATGATTTGATTCAGGCTGAGCACATCTGCATATTACCTAAGTTGGCAAACTTTTAAATTAATTTTGAATAGCTTCTTGAAGACAACGTATTCCCTAGATCTGCTTTGCAAGAAGAAAGGTAGGAAGTATATTCCATGGGAGGGCTGGAACAGTAAGAAGTCCTATAAAGTTCTAGAGCTTACATATAAAAAATGGAAAGTAGGGAAAGTAGGAAAGAGTCGAATTTTTCAAGACTTCCTGGCCAGGCTACGGACAAGGAATTGTTCATAAAGAAAATGGGGAGCTATTGAAAATTTCAAGCAGAGTAAAATGTAGTTTAGAGAGGCAATTTGGTCTATGAAAATAACTGATTAGACAGATTAAGTCTGGAAGGAGGAAATTCAAGCAGCTATTAAGTAACCCCAGACAAGGAATGCTGTAATTCTGCATTAGAGAGCGGGTAAAAGTCAAGCAAAGGGACAGTGATGTGAGCACATGGTCCAAGCCCCAGGGAGAGATAATGCTAATGAGATCTGACTAGAGGAAGAGCCAAAGTGGATGAAGGTGGGTACCCAGAATGGAACTGGAACGCTGTGGCAGAAGGATCCTCACACAAGGTGGGAGGCTGCAGCCTACATTACACATAGGTCACTTCAACCTTGTGGGTGTGGGAAGAGTCAGGACCCAACCACAGACATTCACAGCCAGACTCCAGCCTTAATAAAGGATGGGAGGAGGACCGGGGACTTTGTCAGTATACAGTCCATATTCTACACACTGCAAAAAGGACCTGTATCTAAGCATCCTTCTACCACACGCTCCCTTGATCCAGCTCAACTATCATCATTAGTAGGGAAGGATTTAAAAAAATCTTCCTAATGCAGAAGTTCTCAATACATTTTCCAAATGGCACATCTGGTCCTGAAGTTCCTTTTTGTCATATGCATCCAAGGGTACCACATTCACGTGGCCCACTTACTCACATAGACATAACCAGTCTTTTAACTTGTCTGTATAAATGCGTCACACTGTATGTTACTTTTCTCTTGTAGACTCATCTGTAACTTGAGAGATGGTGGATGAATACAAGAGAATTCTTCTGGTGAAAGGATTACAGAACATGGATGATTATCATTTTCGTATGCTTAAGTCATTACTGGCCCGTAAATTAAAACTGACCTCAAAAGCTCAAGACAAATATGACAGAATTAAGATTGCTGATCTGATGGAAGCAGAATTCCCAGGGGTTGCCTGTGTCAACAAACTAATAGAATTGATAGAAGGTATAAAAGAACTTGAAGAGCTCAGACAAAACCTTAAAACGGAGAAGCTAAAAGGTAACAAGGAAGACCTCAAGCACAACTGCTTTCCTCTGGCTCCCCCCAGTCTTGAATCGAACACCACCTTAGTCATGTTTAATTACTCCTTTTCCAATTTACTTTTTAGTAGCCATCACAATGTTAGTACTGCAGAAGGCAACAGGTTTGACAACATAGAACATCCCCTTTTTTATAAAGGGGATCGATGTACATTGAGTGGTATATTTGAGGTAAGGATAAAGAAGAAAAGGAGGAAATAGAAGAGAAGCTGCAACTTTCAATACATTAGAAATGTTTGAAAATGAAAATAATTTAAGATTTGTGGTTTTTTAAAAAAATATTTACATTTAACCAATTAATGTGACTGTTCTATTGAGACTATTTGCTCCATGGTCATTATCCCTTCTAGTAATAAAGAGGCAGCAGTACTTAACATAAAAACCTCCGCCTCAGAGATATAAAGGACTTTTATAAAACCACCAGGCAAAACCAAAGTTTCAAAAGATTTGAAGACCAATATCACCATTTTGTCACCTTACAGATTCATATCATACTTCCTTTCACTGGCTTCTGTAAGTTTAATGCATCTTTTAGGAAACATGGCCAAACAATCAACATCATGAAAACCTTGGATTATTTTTTATAAAGAGTAGGATAGGGGAACAGAGTAAGGAAAGGTTCTGACTCAGGGACATGGGAACCCAGAGGACAGGAGGGATACTGCACGGGGAAGAAGTACCAAAACCATGGAGGAAGCATGAGACAGTCTCCCTGCCTATATTACTACCCTCGGTCCCCTGGTGGCCAGGATGGCCAATGCAGTCAAGGTAGACTATAACGTACCTCTCGACCCACAAGCAGGAGCCGGGGGGAGATAACCCCGAAGCTGCTTCAGCTCTCTTCAAACTGCTGTTCTGAGTTGATTGTGTCTTTGTTTTTATATCAGTTGCAAAGAAAACAAAAGCCAAAGAGACAACTTCAGCAAAAACGAGAAATCAGGAAGAAACAGGTTCTGCAACACCCACACCCACCACAAGCAGCGCCCAGGCACCCGAGAGAGCAGAGCAGAGTCCTGTGGCTCAGGTAAGCTCGAGGAAGAGGGACGGGCTTGTGGTCCCGCAGAAGGCACTCCGCTAAGGCGCTCGGTTCTTTATGATTATTCCAACAGTTCAGATTCACCAAATTGGGAAATTATGGATTATCTACTTTTTTGCCAGGCAAAGAGTAAGGCACTTTAAAAACAGAGTAAAAATTTCTCTGACATAAATACGATCACATCATCCTCATTATAAAGGTCTGTTAACAACTGGATTGGAATGCATCTTGCTTACGCTTACATAAAGCTAGATTTTCTAATTCTAAGAGCAGTGCTCTTCCCATTACGACACAGAGGAGTAATGTGTCTGTGTGAGTAAACCATCCCTTTTTTAACGCAGCTGTCTATGGCCACTCCTACCTCCCAGCCAGCTGTCTTGGTGATGAGTTGGAACTCCTTGGAGTTTCCGAGGACATAATCTTGCACATAAATAGAACTTACCATAGTGTCATGAAAACGTGTTCTGTTTCTTTTAATATTGAAAACCATTACAGAAAAATTAAACTACTTTCAGAAAAGAAAAAACCCAACCAAAGAAAAGACTGGAACAAAAAAATAAATAAATAAAGTGCCTCAGGAGAAGGTTCAACCTCTCTGTCCTTCAGTAACCAACACATCCGCAACCCTGGGCTGTCCTCCACCTCCCCAGGCCTCGACTCACCTACCTGTCATTTCCTGTCTCTCTTTTCCAAGTTTTCTTCAACTCACTAACAGGTGCATTCCACAGTAACTACTGTCAGCCCGGCATATAATCCTATTACTATTGATTAAATCACTTTGGCAAAGGTGTTTCTTTTGTCATGGTACATGGGTCACACTGATGAGACGCCACATCCAGGTAAGGCCGAGTCATTTACAAGTGATCACCAAGTGTAACATCCCAGGCCAGAGCACTCTATACACTTCTGGTCTATGGAAGTAGATAGCTTGACTCGATGTTCCATGAACACAGGGCCCACCCATGCTTCCCACACCTCCAGTTACAGATCAGTCAGCTTTGTCTCCATGAAAGCATACTGCTGCAATTCAAATAAATCAGGCCACTGTGGAGAAAAGCGACTGGGGGTAAACAAACCTGTCCTCTGTTTTCCGGTCAGCATCCAAGCCAATGAGAAACACTGTGGATGCACTGCAGAGAGCATAGTTCTAATCAGATATCCTTTATTTGAGCCAATTTTGAATAGGGAATTCTGAGCCACCACTTCTTTCTCACTACTTATAACAGAGTATTATTTCTTGGAAAGAGACAGTATTTTGAGCCCTCAAAATGGCCCCAGGTACACTAGTAATAATGGAAAACGTTCATGTTTGTGACTTGTGGTAGGCACCATTCTCTATTTCCAATGTGATCTTACTTCTTTCTTCACTCTTTTTATTTCCTTTGGTCCTTTAAGTGGGTGGAAGAGATATTGGACTTCATCATTATATTTAAATCTGTCTCTCAAATACTTCGCGACAATGTTCTCATCATCCGTGGCTCTGTGTTGCTCCTGCTGAGGTTCATGCTTTAATTCAGAAAGATTACTTTGTTTAAAATGGATGTTCTAACTTCTTTTCCTATTGTCTGCTGCCCTATGCTTCTTCTGTCTAAGCTTTACCAGCTTATGAGGTTTCCTTTCCATTAAACTCTTCCTTTCTAGCCTGAGTCCAGCTCCAAATATCTGTAAAGGTTGTTGTGGCCCAATGTTGTGTTTGAGGGGTCACTCATAGAAAGTGGCTTTGTATTCCCCCCTCAAATTTGTAAGTTTATTTTCCTGCTTCTGTCCAATACAGAACCAGAAAGCGCAGGTCCAGCGTAAGGTGGCTGCCAGGGGAAATGTTCTTCAAAAGGGCCCGATGACAGTGATGGTAGTCAAAGCAACAGAGCTATTTGGATATGAGTCTCCAGACAAGGGGAAAAGCACCATGTTCCACGCTACAGTGGTTACTGAGACTCAGTTTTTCCAAGTGAAGGTTTTAAATGCCGACCTGAAAGAGCAATTCATAAAACAGAAGGTCATTACCATATCAGATTATTTTGAATGCAAAGGAATCCTGGAAGTAAATGAAGCATCATCTGTGTCTGAAGCTGGTCCTGATCAAAAGCTTGAAGTTCCAAACAGCATTATCAAAAGAGCAAATGAAACGCCAAAGATCAATAATCTTCACAAGCAAGCGTCGGGAACATTTGTGTATGGGCTGTTTGAGTTACATCAGGTAATCTCTTAAAATTGCTTTTCATTTTCTCCATCAGGGCCTGAAATTGAACATCTTCCCTTGCCGAGCTCTGTTGACTGACTGAATATTGGAACTCAGTGCTCAGTTGTCTCTCTTGGCTAGAGATAGGTGGCCAAGTCTGCCACACCACAGGAAATGGGACCGGGCGACCTGTTAGCAGCCTTTTCCCCAAGACACTTCCAAGCAAGTCCTTGAAAAAGATTCACTAAGAAACCTTGTCATTTCACCAGTTATGACTACCTATGCCCAGACACCATGACCAAAGACAGTGCAGGGTATAAATCTATATGCTCATTCTAATCATTTTACCTCTGAACTTCACTACTCTCTTTGTACTTTGAAGAATGGGTTGCCCCACTAAGGCTGAATGCTGGTTATGGCATGTATCCAGAATAATAAATACATTTGCTGGTATTCTCCTGAATGCATAGACGTTCAACAGTTAGGCAAATGATATAGCCACTTAATGCTATCTCCTCTGTCTTATCCATTTATTATTCGTGAATAGTTAATTGAAGAAATATCATATTTTATGATATTTGGAAGATATGGTCATCTAATTTCCTTATTTATCAAAAAAGGCATCAAGAGCTTTACTGACACATCAGTTTCCAAGTTCAGGATACTAGATAGTATGATGGAGCCAATCCCCCCCAAATTTACAAACTGCTATGAACTCACCTAATATCTTACATGATTGCCCGCTTCATAAACCTATATACTTATCTTCTAAGATAGCCTCTTAATTTACCTCAAATACTTTCTTATACCATCTTTAAGAGACCATATTTATAAACGCAGCTATACAATTGATGAGTAATAACTCTTATGAGTGAGACACTATACAGTGTGACCTGTGGGACCTACATCAGTGGGAATAAGATACTGGAGAAGACCGAGCAAATGGAGAAGGTTGAGAAAAAAATAGTGGGTAACCAGAACCTTACTTGTTATATAGATTTTTTTTTACAGTCTATTAAATGAATAGTTACAGTCCATGTCCGTTCATTTCTGACTAAGGCAAGGAGACACAGAAGTTCATCAAGGACTTCTGATCCTTCTCTTCCAGTTGTTCTAAGGAAATAAAGCTGCTCTTGAGGTGGAAGCGTAGAAAAAAGAAAGAAAACTCATTGTTCTAGAACTTCCAGCTGGAAAACATCTGAAACGAGAAAGGCAAAAATAAAAAAGCAAGATAGTAAAAGAAAGTTCTCCAAGAAGTCCAAAGCTATATGTGTATCTGTGGCTGTAATTGCTTTTTTTATGTCTTGTATTTACTGGGTCATAAGGATCTTTCTCATACATATGGAAGTTATTGCATTTTCAGAAACTGTTAAATTTCTGTTGCAGAAACGAGTGAATGTGAAGAACACAATCTATGAGATACAAGATAATACAGGAAAGATGGACGTCGTGGGGAATGGGAAATGGCACGACATCCAGTGTAAGGAAGGAGATAAGCTTCGACTGTTCTGCTTTAAACTGAGAACAATTGACCCGAAGTTGAAACTGGCATGCGTAGGTCACAGCTTCATCAAGGTGGGACCTTCTAGAGAAACACTAGTTTTCCAAAAAGGCAAATCATTTTGCATGGGTTTTCAGAGCACCAGGCTTCTCTTTTCTTAGAGCATAGAGTCTGCAGGTGGGAGGAGAATACAATGCTCTCACATTCATTTGTAAGGGGACAATTTTTTTTTTAATTTTAATGGAGGTCCTAGGGATTGAACCCAGGACCTCACACATGCTAAGCATGTGCTGTACCACTGAGCTATACCCTCACCACCTTCTGTAAGTGGAGGACTTTTTTAAAGGATATGAGGAGATGACTCTCATATAGACTTCAAAATGATATGATACTTGTGCTAAAAAATAAAATATTTGAAGAAATTAGGAAGGCAGAGGAATAAATTCACTTAATGGCCAGGAGCATGGCGTTGAGCTGGACTGACCTGACCCTGGTTTCAGGGCTCACTAGTTGCCTGGTGCTGGGGAAACAGCTTTATGGGTCCTCTAAAATGGTCAGCATCTCTAGCTCACAAAGTTGGTTTAAAAGCAAAGTGAGACAATGCATTATGTCACTGCCTGGCACAAAATGAGAAATTAATCTGCCTAGGTACTATTTTTCTCAGCAAAGACACTCCAAAGAGCTCTGGGCAAAGAAAAGTACATATGCATGTCCTCAAAACTGTGAAGCAGCATAGTGAGTTCAGAAATTCAGTAGATATGGAAGACTATGGGAAGATGAGGCCAAAAGATTAAAAAAAAAAAAAAGGAAGGGGGGAGAGACAGTGCAGCCTTTTGTCAGAAATAAATAAACAGAAAATGTATTGTGGAAATAAGTAACAAGATGAAAGATTCTTTGCAGAAGAATGCTAGATTACTTTAACATTATTGGAAAAAATATTCTTGTAACTATCTGAAGAGATGCTTTGGAGAGAGGCTAGGTTTAGAGACAGATATCAAGTAGAAATAGCAGTGTATGTCAGTTTAGAGATTGTTGCTAAAGTTATAGGTTAGAATGATACTGCCTAAAATCAATATATATACTATCTACCATACAATATATATACTAACATGTGCAGAAAACATTCAGCAATCATCATGCGCTGGGAGCGGAAACAAGGATGAAGATATACTCATTACTCCCATTCCATTGATAGAGACACAGGTGCCCACTAAAGGGTAGGAGGTAACTTGCCCGAATTGATGCAGCCAGTAAGTGGTGGAACTGAGATTCCTATCCTGGCCCAGGTGCTCTCGCACCAGAGTCAGATTCTTGGGCAGTTTGAATGAGAAGATCAGATAGATAAGGGTGAAGCCTTGGGGAAAAGTGGCATTTGAAAGTGGCCTGAAGGTAAAAGATTCTATGCAAGAGAATAAAAAGAAGTGATCAGAGAGGTCAAAGGTAAAATGGAAAATGTATAAGCACCAAAAAGAAAAATGTTTAATGAGGAAGGGATCCACAGAGCTCATGCCAGACAGTAATGATCAAGGGGGTCCCAGGATCTTGAATAACTACATCTTAGAGCAAAAGGGACCATATTGTAGTGAAATGCACATCCTGACCCACGAGAAAAAGATGCAGTTGACTCCATATGACATCACGCTCTGTCTCATACACATAGGAACACAAACACACAAACATGCACAGAGGGCCACCATGGGATTCTTGACACACTATTCAAAGTTAACCCAATTAATTAAATCAGAAATTCTGATATGTTCATGCATGCAGACATGGACATGCACATCAGCTGTTCCACTTTCAGATCCTCTGACACAAGAACCTCTATCTTCTACCTCTAATCCGGAGCGATTGCACAGAGAAAGGTATTTACCTGACCTTGCTGCTTCTCACTTTTCTGTCCCGCAGAGGACTCCCTGCCCTCCGTGCTGGTGAACCAGCACTTCTCTTTCTTCTACGGTTCCCGCTCAACACCCTTGTAGAAAGAATCCTTACCCTGTTCAAATGCTGGGCATGAGGAAGTATCTTTCCGGCTTCAGATGATGGGGATCGGGAAGACTTAAAAGAAAATACTGCACTAGAGGAGGTGGGAGAGAGAGAATGAATAGCATTTGAGAGAGAACAGGAGAGGGACCGACTCAGGAGCAGGGCAGGCAGGGTGGGTGAAGGGGGAGAACCAGCAGAACTTCACGGCACCTGCCCAGACCTCATTGTGTCTTTCTTATCTCTCCTTCAAGGTCGTCAAGAATAGAAGAAGGACCGATCAGTCCTGATTTAACTCTGAAAGTTACAGTTGAGAACCTCCCTCCCTGTCTAAATCTTTAGGTGGCTTTAGTAGTGATATTTCATTTAAATGACAGATTCAGTAAAACAGCCCAGCGCATTAGAGTTTTTCATACCTGAACTATGGGTTGGGGGACTTTCTTAATATTTACATATATTCCTCTGTATTTTCTCAGAATACCACATTTTGCCTCTAAAATGTTTGTAATGTTAAAAAAATAAAATAAAATTTCCTTTTTTAAAAGGCATCGTTTTCCAGAATTGCTGGAGATGGTCTCTTTATTGCCGAAATGAGCTGTTTGGAGATGCTTGATTTGTGCACAGGAGTCATACAGGGTGGAGTAAACAGAGCCTCATTGACATCGGGGTCAAAGATGAATAACCTTATTTATAAAACAGAAACAGATTCACTGACATAGAAAACAAACTTATGGTTACCAGGGGGGAAGGGGGTAGGAAGGGACAAACTGGGAGTTTGAGATTTGCAGATACTGACTGGTATATATGACATAGATAAACAAGTTTACGCTGTACAGCACAGGAAACTATATTCGGTATCTTACAGTAGCTCACGGTGAGAAAAATATGAAAACAAATATATGTATGTTCATGTATGACTGAAGCATTGTGTTGTACATCGGAAATTGACACAAATTGTAAACAGACTCGACTTCAATAAAAACAAAGCAACAACAAAAAAAACCACTGAGGTCAACATTCAACATTCTGAATGTGATTTCCAGAGGACCAGGCCCTAACCAGGGCCAGCCTAAGGTTATTCATACCACAGCCTAGTTCAAATCAGTAAGCCCTGTGCCCTGGGGCAAGGTTTACTTGGCCCACAAAAAGAGTTACTTTCTGCAACTAAATCCCTCAGAAGAGGATCATTTGTGTGACTGGTGTCTCTGGATGAGTCACCCCTGGTGATCCACACAAAGGTACCGATATTTCCCTGTCCCCAGCTCCCGTGGAATGTCCAGTGCCATTCACCTGATTTGAAGGTGCACTCATGATTAGTTCTCCAACTATTTCTAACTATCCTTGCATTAATGCGTGGATTCCAGGCCCCAAGAGAAACAGGAAGGGGGCAGGGCACAGCCATTCAAGGAATGATACAGCAATTAACATCAAAATGGTGGAAGATTCAACCCCCAGGAGGCCTTGAGGCTCAGGATGGTGGGGGAGTTGACTTCCAATAGACCTTGAGCTTCACTACACGCCCACTGTAATGTATTAGCAAGATAAATGACATGCCCACAGGCGCCATGACAATTCCAAGGCTAGCCACGAAAGGTCAAAGAGTGGGAAATGGCGAACAAGCTGGGAATCCCAGCCCCTTCCCCAGGCTAGTTAGACTGGTCCTTCCACTTACTATTATATGAAGCCACTGAGCCCATAAAAACTGGCAACACAGTGCCGCCTCGTGGCCGCCGCTTCTCTCTCTCTCCCTCCTCTTCGGAAACAGCCCGTGCTCTGTCTTTGGACAGTGTACCTATTTTTACTCTAATCTGAGCTCCCAACCCCAACACCTCATGGCCTTTCTCTTGCCTTTTGATGTATCTCTAAGTAAATCTACTTTTACTCAACTGTAGCTCGCTCTTGAATTCTTTCCTGCCCAAAGCCAAGGACCCACACTTGGCAGGGCACGTCCCAGGGGCTCAACCGAAGCCTGGGACACGGCCCTCCTCATGGCCCTCCTCACGCCCCACATCCGTTTTTCCTGCATCACATGTAGGGACATGAAATGAGCAAAAAGTAATGAATGGTGAATTAAATCTATTTTCAATGACAGTAATGGTCACCTAAAAAAATTCAATATCTAAAATCAGTAATAGTTAAAGTGTAACTATTGACTTCTATTTCTGGTGATTGCAGAGTAACCTACCACCATAAGTGGCAATATAACGCAATAAAATAACGTGAGGTGAGAGTTTTCAGGCTTTGACCAAAGGGAAGCAGAAGGATAAGGTCCCAGATAGAGGGCACACTCGGCTTTATAGTCGTCCAAGATCTCCACCTTGGACAATGTCCTGATTGCAGGCTAGTGAGCAGGTGTCAAAGCAGAGCATGACAGTCACACTGGGCCAAAGGGTTTTTCATAGCACCCAAGTGTCTGGAAATTGGAGAGGAGGGAGCTATACAGAGGGTTCTTTGGCTGAGTCCTGGGTTGCATCTATAGGAGGTGAGATAAAATGAGACCTACCACAGAGCAGCCTCTATGAGGCTGAGAATAGAGCAGAGGTCCAGGAGAGCAACCTGCACCGGCAACACTGAACGTTGTTGGTAGGATAGAAACACTCCTTTAGCCTCCGGGCATCAGACTAATGGAACAGAGAGTTTCCACATTGAGAGTAAACGTTGTACAACAGACTAGCAACTACACTAAATCCATCCTAACAAAGCTTAAAACCAAGCCTGAACCTAATTCAAGAAAGAGTGTGAGTTGTTGGGTTTTTTCTAGCTCTGTTGATACATCATTGACATATAACATTGTGCTATTCATGTTATACATGTGTCCAGTGGGATGACCCGATACAATTATATACTGAGAAATGATCCCCTGAATAAGATTAGTTAACACCTTCATCACCTCATATAATTACTTTTTTGGTGAAACATTTAAGGCACTCTCTTAAAACCTTTCAAGTACATAATACAGTATTTTTGACTATAGTCACCATGTGGTACATTAGATCCCCAGAACTTATTGATCTTAAACCTGGAATGTTGTACACTTTGACCAACATTTCTCCATTTCCCCCAACATCCTGCCCCTGGCAACTACCATCTA